GATAAGTGGTGAAGAGACTGAGATTATTAATAGTTTCAGCTCCACAATCAACACTCTTGGTACAGGCAGCCAGGAAATCAAAAGACTAATTGCATTTGGAAAATCTGCTGTCCTGGACCTCTCCAGAGTACTGAAGAGCAACAATGTCAGTCTAGAGATTAAGGTGTGCTTGATCCAGTTCATGGTCTTCAAAATTGCTTGGTATGTATCAGAAAACTGGACAATGACTAAGGATAATAGAAGAAGAATGAAAGTCTTTGAGTTGTGTTACTGGGGAAGAGTACTGAAAGTCCCATGGTATGCTAGGAGAACGAACAGGTTCATCTTTGAGAAGGTTAAACCAGGCTGCCTGGAGCAGCCAATGATTTTGAAACTCCTTCTGACCTACTTTGGGCATTTGCAAGGAGGGATCACATCTTGGAGAGGGACATCATTTTTTGGAAGGGTACAGGGACATAGCAAGAGAGGAAATGCTGGATGAAATGGATTGGCTCAGTGACTGCAATAATGGGGGTAGAAATTTCAGATACAGTGAGATTTGCTCAAGATAGAGTAGGGTTCAGAGCTGTTGTCCTTAGGGTGACAGTGAATTGCAAGTTACTCAATGACTACATTACCAAGAGTGTTGATTTTTCTTTATCTAAGCAAGATTAAATTAACAGCTTCAATCCATTCTCCATCTATCATTAAGTTGATTGTTGGTTCTGTGGAGAAGACTTTGGTTTTCCTGATATTGAGATTCAATCTGCACTGTGGGCAGTAGTTCTTGATCTTCTGCAGCAAGGGTTTACTTTCTACAAGCAAGTTTGTGTCATCAGTATAACAAAATTTGTTGATAAGTCTTCCTCTGATCCTCATGCCACAAAATTTGTTTTTCTGCTTTTTCATCTTGAGAAATGAATATATAATTAAAATACAATCCAACAATTGGATCCCTTGGCATTTATTGTAGAGAAATGGCAACCTACATGCACATGAAAATCTATCAATAGATATTTATAGCAGTCTTATTCATAGGAAAAATTAGCAAACAGCCCAAATGACCTCAGCTGATGAATACTCTAACCGTAGTGCACTCAAACTAGGAAAATCCACTCAGCAACCAAAAGCAAGCAAGCAATGTTGTATGCAATGACCTGAATATGGTATATTATTTCACTTGATATTAGATTTTTTAAATGACAAGATTCTATGAAATGTAGGACAGAATAGTAGTTGTCAGCATTTAAGGAGGGGAAGAGGGCAGGAGGTTTGTATGGCTATAGGAGAGCAATGTGAAGAAACATTAAATCACCATTTAGAATGTTAGATCACTGTCTATAGAAGAACAAATGTTTATAGAGATGAAATGTCCTATATCTTGACTGTATAAATGGCCATATAGTGACTGTAATACTGCAATATAATAATTGTATGCTGTGACTATGGGAGGGATTTTTAGTAAAGGATACATATATGGATGTCTCTGCATAATTTCTCTGAACTGCATCTGAATCTATACTTTTCAAAATAAAAAGTTATGTGGGTTTTTTTTTAAATGAAAGTTTTCTGAGTGTTAGATATAGAGATCTAAAGTAAATGATCGTGCAACTGTATTAACACATCCGGAAAATGTATTTCCAGCTGTAAGGTCTTGGTAGTTGGAGCTTTATGGTGTAAAGGTTCAAACTTTCTTAATAGTCTAATAACCTTTATTTTCTGTCATTAAGCAAAAGTAAATTAATCTACAACCTTATGAAGAATAATTTAGTATCAGGATTGGAAGAAGATTCACCAACAACCTGTGTTATGCAGATTACACAACCTTGCTCAATGAGACTAATAAATAATTGAAATAGTTGTTGCAGAAGGTCAAAGACTGTAGACTTTACTATGGATTGCATATAAATATCAAGAAAACAAAGATTCCACCATTGGGCCAATAGGCAGAATCATGATAGATGAAGAAAAGGTTGAGGTTTTTTTGAATCTTGTTCAAATCCACAATCAACACCTTTGGTACCAGTAGTTAGGAAATCAAATGATGAGTTGTTTTAGGAAAGTCTGTTGTCAGGGACCTATTCATAGTGCTAATGAGCAATGATGTCAGTCGAGAGACTAAAGTGTGTATGATTCAAGTCATCATATTCTCAATTGCTTGGTATGCATCTGAGATCTAGACAGTGACTAAAGATGACAGGAAAATTGATGCCTTTGAGTCGTGGTGCTAGAGAAGAGTATTGAACATATCATTGACTGCCAAGAGAACAAGAAGTCTGTCTTACAGAGGTTGAAACTAAGTTGCTCCTTGGGGACAAGGATTTTGAAGCTCTCTTTTACAGTCTTTGAGCATGTTGCCAGGAGGGACGTCATGCTTGCAAGGGTCAAGATTCAGCGTGAGAGAGGAAGTTCCTGAATGAGAAATAGACTGACATAGTGACAGTGGCAATGGAGACAGGTATATTAGAGAAGATAAGGTTGTCTCAGGAGAGGGCAACCCACACCTCACTCCATACACAAAAACCAACTCAAGGTGGATCATGGACCTAGGACTAAAACCAAGGACTATAAAATTCATTACAGAAAAGCTAG